AATGTTACAATTTATTCTGGGACTCGGTGATTTGGAGGCCCAACTCGTCGAGTAGACTCGACTGTTGGATCGGGGGTTTAAGTGACCTAGTCGACGAGTCGGAAGACCGACTCGACGAGTAGGAGCTGTCTGGACAAAACCCTAATATTTAGGGTTTGCACCCTATTTAAACACTTCATCCCGTCCCAACCCAACCTCCATCACCCTCCCAACTCAGAGAAACCCTAGATTGAAACCCTAAACCATTTTTGAGTGATTTGAGCTCTTTTGGTGCCTTTTTGTGTGTGTTTGAAGTTGAAGGAGAAGAAGAGAGCTTAGGAGATCAAGAGGAAGCTAGTAGATCCCAAGGTTTTGCTTCATTCTCAGTCCATTCAAGGTAAAAAGCTTGAACCTTGACCATCTATTTCCTAGATCTTGTTTTGGGGCTATTTCTCCACCTTTTCTAAGCTTTTGAGAAGCTATGTTCAGTTTTGCTAGTATATGTGGGTTGTGCTTCAGATATGGAACCATTGAGGGTTCCCATGGCATAAAGGTGCCAACTTTATGGCCATGGGAGACCCATGCACCATATAAACCCCATTTTATAGCCTTTCGAGCGAAAAACCTCATGCATGGACATCAAGTTCGTAGCTTTACGTATAAAAGGGACCATAGGAGGTCAGATCTATGATTGGGATGCATTAAGTCCCACTGAAATCGACTGTATAGTTTTGGACAAAGAGGGACTCGGCGAGTCACTTAGGTGACTCGGCGATTCGGGATGCCTTTCCCCCAAAGTGTCTCTTGGAAATGGTTTTGGTTGAGTGGAAGGAACACTCAGCCTGATGGCGGTTTGTTTTGGACCTGGAACTCATGGGACTCGACGAGTGTATGAACAGACTCGGCGAGTCCAAGGCAATCTCCCAACTTATGAAGACGGACTCGGCGAGTTCAGGAGGAACTCGGCGAGTCATAGACTGAACATCTTCTTATGAATAAAGATGAACTCGGCGAGTTCAAGAACGAACTCGACAAGTCGTTTGAAGATTGTCCGATGTGTTGTTGAAGGCGAACTCGTCGAGCTCTTGCTAGACTCGACGGGTAGGAGCGGGTTTATGACATTTTGTGGTTATAGGGACTCGACGAGTTAGCGGGCCAACTCGACGAGTCGAGTCAACCAGATGTTGATTTTGACTAAAGTTGACTTTGACCATGGATTTGACTTGGAAATTGATTGGGTTTGGGTTGACCCTTGTAAGGGTTGCGAGTATGAGTATGAGTTGATAACTTGGAAGAGTTGTCGTGTAGTGATTAAGGAGTCGGGGAGAGTCGATTTCCACATCGAGATCAGTGCATACACTATGCGACATCGAGGTGAGTTACCTTCCAGTAGCGGTGGGCCCACCAGTAGGAGTTGTATGTTAGATGATTGTCTTTGTGATATTCTTCTAGGTTTGCTACTATCTGTTATGTTTTATGTGCCAGCATGATACGATGTTATGTGATGATGGTAGTAGTAGGGGGAGATAGTCCCCAAGTTACCGGCGGATAGGGCCGAAGGGGTAGTTTAGTACCAAGCTATGTTAGATTATGATTACGTAACTGTATGTGATAGACCAGTCGAGAGTGCCGAAGGGGTAGGCCAGCACCCAGATATGCTAGGCAAGGTCACCGGTCGAGAGGACCGAAGGGGTAGGTCGGGCACCCAGATATGCCTGGCAGTATGTGTGTTATATGTTTGTATGGTATGTGGTATGACGGGGGAACTCACTAAGCTTCGTGCTTACAGTTTTCAGTTTTGTTTCAGGTACCTCTTCAGCGAAGGGGGAGGAACCGGCGCGGTAGCGGCACATCACACTCACACATGATTTCGCATCGAGTTTTCTGGGATTGTACTCTGATTTTTATTACTAGTGATGTTATGGTTTTGAGATACGTTGGTACAGTTTTTATAAATTATTATGACATTGGTAAGGGTTTTTGGTAAACTATTTTTATGAGTTACTTAATTAAAATGAAATTTTTGGCCTTGAAAATTGGGATGTTACATCTGAGGATCGCAGGAAAGCAAAGGCTTGATTGTACACATTCGTCTGAAGATCATGTTATTGGATATTTTGGGACACTCTGATATTTTGATGTGGATTTGTATTTGACATTATGGTTTTTCTTGAGATGGTTTTTATGAAAAATGTTTTTGTATGAAATTAAAATGTATTAAGCGTTGTTTTGTAAATTCATAATATATTTCAAAAACATAATAAACGATACATCTTAGTTATCATCGTACAACGAATGAGAAGGCAAACGGGCAACAAGTTGCGCCAATTATAGATCATAAAATTTGCATCATTAATCCTATTGAATATATGATTTTACCTCATAAAGTTTTAGGATCTAACAATATATGATCCAACTTTATAGTCAAAGAGTAACAAAGTACCAAACAACACAAAATAAAATTCTGCAAAAACAGTGCATATTAAACACAATCCAAAAAATTCCATCATATACCTAAATCTACTATTTTTACTATCCAAGTCATACAATTACTAAAACTAACAATGTATCTGAACCAACTTCCTAACAACCAAACAAACATATACATGTAACATTGTTTCTTAACTACATTACCAAACAACCATGAAAATCCTACAACTAATAACAAAAAATACATATCCAAGTAACAATGTTACTTAACCATAACACACCAATAATGAGTATCTGAAGCTAACCAAAACTTTTCGATAACACCCAAACCACAAATTATATACCTCCATATCCTTGAACTATTACTTCAAAATCATGGAAATGACCTTCAATATAAGTTTTTTTCTTCTTGTAAGTTGTCAACAGATCAAAATCATTCAGAGTTGAAAGTAGGATGCTACAATAAACAGATAAATGAAAGTAAAATTTTGTTTTGACACTTTTACCCTTTTTAGTGGCCTAAAATTTGTATGAAAGTCAGTTTAGATAATGAAAATCAAGATGCAATAGGACTTTTCATTGTTATTAAAAGTCTTAGTTATTCCTATCCCAATAATATAGCAGCTAGTAGTCACCTCACCGATGATCTTTATGTTATCATGTTCTCTTAAGATATAATCATAACATAATGATTTTCTATTTTCTATATCTATATATCACTCATTGAACTTAAAATCATAGATCTATATCATACATAAAGTTTTGATACAAATTCTATATTGATTTTGACAATAATATTGTTGATGTTTTACATTTTAAATGCATTTGTAACTATGTCTAACAAGTTAATTTCAAGAAAAAACCAATGATAATTGTCATAAGAAACTACATAAGTACTTATCACATATGTAAATAAATGAAACAGGAATAAAATATTTAAGAATTCAAATTTTCCAAGATGTTGTTTCTTTGAGACATTAGATTGATTACCTTGTGAGCATCATTGTATTAAGTTTCACTTTGATGCTTTTATCTAACTTCGTCATCCATAAATCTTTTCAAAATAAAAAAAAAGTAAAAGAACTGATCTCAATATTCAATTTCATATATGTATTAAAGCTCAAATTGAGAGGGAGATGAAAACTAGGGTTTCAAAATCATAAATCGTAACTATATTTAGGGTTTATCGTAACAAATCACATATTATTTACATATTATAATCAATATACAGGTATAAACTTTCCTAACAACAAATCAAATAAAAAATAAAAAACATCAAAAATAGTTCAAATATAACCAAAATGAAGCTAACAACAATGCAAATTAAAAAATAATGCTTACCTGCTTCATAACTTCAAATCGAATCAAAACGAGGATAAAACACGGACATTCAAAAACGATTATGAGATCGGACGAAGGATTACATGAAGGATTTTGAGTTAACAAAGATGTTCTTGAGGAAATAAGAGGAAAAGAAGAAAATCCGCGCTTCACCGTTCATCTAGGGCTTTAGAAACGAAAATTGACTACTATATCCTTAGATACTTTGCCCTTTTAGGAAAAGCAGAAAAAGTTGAACGTAATTGCAAAAATACCACCTCCTCCATTGATTTAAAAAAAAATAAAAAAAAATAAAAAAAAAAGTAAAATTATCTTGGCCACATATTTTTTTGTATTAAAGGTTCAGATTTGTACTCGTGGTCCTCACTGAATTTTGAATCCTCACCCGATCCTATTTCGGGTATGAATTTAGTATTCTAGGAATCCACATGGGGACCACTTATGAAGATGTCTTTTAAATTGTTAATAGATTATCAAGTTAAATATTACTAACTAGATTTGCCAACATACAAACAATTGTTAATAGATTATCAAGTTAAATATTACTAACTAGATTTGCCAACATACAAAAGTATTGTGAGCAAAGTTTAAAATTCAAACGAAAAAAAAAATAACAAACCTTTTCTATAATTAAATTATAGGTACAACTTTTGTAAAAGCCTAAAAGCCAAAACTTTGTAGCAACAGTCAAAACTCAAAAAGACAAATAAAATATTCATAACAATTATGTAAAAATCTTAAAGTCAAAACTATTGTTGCAAAAATATACTATTCATACATAGATTGCTTTTTATTATATATAATAATTATACTATTCTAGTAACAATAACATTTTTTTATAAGTTGTATACTTGTATATGGTAAAAATTACATCTAAAACAACTTTCGATCTGACCTTTCCACTTTTAGTTGTATATTTTATGCTACTCGTTTAACTCTTAGCACTAACACACAACCTAAATCCATTTATTCACAAATAATTCAGTTTAAATTAATCATCATTTTCACAAAGTTAGATATTATCTATCATGTGGTTTCAATGAAATATATATATCATTTAGATTATTAGACGATTAAGATTTACTTTCCACTACAACTTCTTCTTTTTTTCATGTGTACAAATTTGACAAAGTTCTTTCAAGAAACAACTGAGAATGAAAATTATACACAGACTCAGCATAAACTTCACAACACAACCAGCATGTCATACACCTTTCCCATCAACCACCACCACCAGCCACCGCCACCATCACCCCCCTTGTCTTTTCTATATTTCCTTGTAATACAATTACAACCACCTCAATTACACTAAACAAAACCCATCAACTCCTGGACCTTACCCTCCTGCCGCTAGTATCTCCGCCATCTGAAAGCTGAGCACAAACACTCCGGGATTTACAACCACCATCACCACCACCACTGCCGCCACTGTTATACCCATCTTCACAACCAGCCACCGTCTTCAGAATCTCTGATTGTAATGCTGGGTGGTTGCTTTTCAGATACTGAAACCCATCTGATCTCATTACAGCTGGCATTTCAACAACAAATGTTTATAAGAAATTATCAACACAGTTTTTTTTTTTTTTCTTTTTTAAATTATGGATTTATGGTATAATATATATCTAATTATAGCAGTGAACATTTATTTTATATTTGGATAACATTACGAATTTACTATAACTTCTTAAAATTCTTTTTTGCATAATTAAGTCCCTTGACTTATTGAATCACACATAAAATATGTTTTTTAAGAAACTTTACAAGTAAATTACAAGAATCGTCCCTGTGGTTTGGCCCAATCTGCACATTTCGTCCCTGGGTATTTTTTTTTCACTTGGAGCATCCCCATTTAGTTTTAAACTTGCATGTTACGTCCCTAATAGACCTAAAAAGACTATAATGCCCTTATGTTTTTCTTTTTTTAACTTTTTTGTTATTTTTTTTTATCTAGTTTGTTATTTATTTTTTTTTAAAGGGTTTTATGCAGAAAAGTCCGATTATTTTGGGAAGTTTTTTGATAAAGTCCTAAATGTTTTTTTATTGAACAGAATAGTCTCATTATTTTGGGAAAATCACATAATCTGTCATTTCCTGTTAAAATATACAAAATGATTTTTTTCGTTAATTTGGGCAAAATGTTAAATAATCAGGACTTTTCTATTCAAAAAATAAAATTTAGAACTTTATCAAAAAATTCCCCAATATAAAAGGACTTTTCTCCATAAAACCCTTTTTTAAATTGAAAAAAATAAACAAAAAACAAAAATTTTAAAAAAGAAATACATAAGGGCATTATAGTCTTTTTAGGTCTGTCAGGAACGAAACATGCAAGTTCAAAACTAACTAATGGTCCGAGTGAAAAACAAAACACAGGGACGAAACGCACAAATTGGTCCAAACCACAGGGACAATTCATGTAATTTACTCAAACTTTAACTTGAAAAAGATACCATGTTTAAGTGTTACAACAATTAACAAGTCAAAGGATTTAATCTTTACTTTGCACATTAAATAAAAACATGCTGACATGGCATCATTTCCTTTTATACTGATTTGCCACTTGTAATGCCACATCAGCAAAAAAAACTTAAAAAAACACAAAATGGTTAGTATGTTGCTATTATGGGAAGAAATTAAAGTACATTGCCCATATTTATACAAGTAATAATAGTGAAAGCTTAAAGATGACATAGATATACCTGCAAGATTTTCAGAAGCAAATCTTAGGCAAACAGCTTTAAGCTCCATAGCATGATGATTATCTGCCAATGCTAAAATTCTGCCAACTGAAATTACGGATATACCCTTGCAGAGACGCGACTCACAAATCCTTCTGAGTCTAGTCAAATCATATCGATCAGCAGCAGCTAATAATTTGGCTACTACTGTATCCGTTACATTTTGTTCACTGGATGAACTTGAAGCCACCAATTCATCTGTAAGTTCATCTCTGTATATGAAGTGTAGCATCGCCTGTTGAACAATAGAAAAGTATAATTAATAATTCAACTTTCGTTATTTGTGTGATATATTAAATTATTAAATCCCAAAAAAGTGTTAGCAATGATAGTGTAATTACCTCAAAAACCTTAGGCTCCATGTCAGTAATAACAATTTCATCATCATCTCTCTCTTGTTGATAGAACTGAGACCGGAACACAGGGGATCTAGCAGTCAACACCAACTTATGAGCATGAAATTTTTCATCACCCACTTTGAAGATAACATCACAACCTTCCATATTTTCAAGCAACATACCGAAATTTGATCCGATATCAGAGTCTGGGACTTTGATTGAATGTAACCTAGGGCAATCTGTTGCAGAAACCACCACTCCCACAGTGCAATTGATTTTCAAACAATCGTCCCTGAGATAATCTGATGTTTCAAGCAATTGTCGCCTGTAAAATCGCTTGTATCCCCTAATCAAGAACACCCAAGATTGAAAAGGTGGATATATTAGTTGAAATTATACGACAATTACAAGGTTGTTTGGGAATAACAGTAAGTTGGATATCAGAAACCTACCACATGCTGCCTCTGTACTTCAATGTATAAGGACCACTTTCCAAAGAGCGATCAAAATGGCTATGAACCTTGTGCTTCTCTTTCCCACTCTGATCTACAAGAGTTAACTCGAACAAAGCCCTTACATCGGAACCTTCACTGGTAAGCGCAATGAAAAGCGAAACATAAGTGGAATTATCTTCGGGGTTTTTTCCATCGGGGTAGAAGTATACAGCCCATTGGTAACCTCCCACCGTGAAATTATCACTGGCGATGTGTTTTCCGATTCCCATACCCTTCGCTAACGAATAGCCCTGAATTACGAACTGGTGAGAGCCGTTCACCGTCTGCGTCACCGACCGAGAGCTCGTCGATGAATCCGCCATGGCGACGGCGATCTTCTCATTGTCTGACATTAGTATATCTTTTCGAGTTGATCAACCAGGAATATTGACCCAAATCGTACACAAATGGATTCGAAAAAAGATTTTTCAGGAATGGATTTGGAAATCGAGATGATGAGAGGGGAAATTCGAGGGTTTTGCTTCTCTCTCTCTCTGTAGTGCGCAAACGCTCTTTGAAATGTCGAAATTTCACTCAACCGGTCATATATCTCAACAGTAAAGATATTTACACCACGTTAGATTCTAAAATGATAATTGTCAAAAATATAACCCCCTTCAAATTTTAATATATCTATTAATCTATCTGACTATCTATTCTTTTTTATGAATTATCCGATTGAAAATATTACAACACGGCTGATATTTTTAATAATTATTTCTTTATTATTATTATTATTATTATTATTATTATTATTTATTTTTCCAAAAGAAAAGTTAAGTTTTAAATGCTAACTTTTTTTATAAAAAAAAAAACCCTTCCAATTATGCAATAATACTCCAAAAAAAAAATCATTATGTTATTATTCCGTATAATAAATAATTTTAATTTATGAACATGTCTAAAATAATATTTAGTTTTTTTTTTATTGGTTACCTAACATTTATGACTTAAAAAAATCTCAATTTATTATCCTTGAAACGTTGAAAAAACCATTTTATATTATTATTTTGTATAATTAAACCAATTAAACCATTTTATGTTTTGATTTTGTACAATAACCATATATATGCCAACGTATTATTCTGGCTTTGTTAATGTTTGTTCTCCGTTCCATGAGATTTATTCTTTGAATATGTTTTGGATGGCTTTGTATGGGTATATTTATTATAGTGTTGTATTATTATTTATAGTTTGTACCTTGTAGAGGAATTAATGGAAAATTTCTCAATTATTGTGATATCAAGAGTAACTATTCCCTTTCATAAAATATTCTCTCTCTCTCTCTATGAATGAGCGTCACTTTCATTCAATGAGATACATCATGTGTTACATAGAATGTACGCTTGATCATGGTCTCCAACTTCATATATCTTTCCTGGCCAATCTCACTACTTATTTTGATGTTGGCTGGAAGGGTACCTAGTAAATTGTCACTCCATATTGGGGGTACTTAATCTTTATGGGTGAAAACCTCATCTCTTGTCCATCTAAGTATCGGTGTGTTATTGAATACCACATGATGGTATGTCCAATCTTTAGAGCATGTTTGGTTTGTAGTCTCCTGTTTGAACTCCATTGTCGTAGCCCCAAGACCATTATTTTATATTGTAAGATATACTAAGGATTTACTTAAGTATATATATAAATATTTTTATAAATTTTTTGGATCTCTCAATTTAACTTTATATATTGTTATCATTGAGTTCAGATTTATTATGGAAATTGTTTAAAATTGTTAATGGACCAATTTTTATAAGTAAATGAAGTTAAACACTTACCATAAATAAAGATAAACATTTACCGGTAAATGAAGATAAACACTTACCATATAATTATAGGTTGAGTTCTCGGTTTAACTCAAAATCTCATATTTCTCTAATATCTCTCCATAGTAGGTTATATCTTCATTTATATAAACACCTTTTGATAAACAAATCCAAAGAATATGAAATACACATACAATATGTAACAACCTGAAAATCTTTCTATAAACGACGTTAGCTTTCTGTTGCTCAAAAATTAATTGTTGTAAAACTATTTTGATTTAAAGAGTATTAAAGTGGAATCATTATGTCATTATATTGAAAAATAAGTCATAATTGACATATTCATGACAATCGAAGGGTATTATGCAAATTATCAAACAATAGTAAAAGAATTATTAAAATTTATGGTGTGTATGGGATAAATCAGGAAACTCCAGAGATGAAAGTTGTAAATTGCAATTAAAATACATTCAACCATGCGTCCGTTTCTTCCTGTCGTTCCTTTCTTTTTCCCGACGGTTACGTCCTATTTTCCTAAACCAAATTAAGTTGCCAACGTCCTCTTTTATTGAGTAATATATGATATGAGTGAGAAAGAGGGTGGTGGTGTTCATTGTCATTCTGGTAGAGGTGTTAAGGGTGACGGGATGTGACAACCCGGAACTTTTATCTTGTACACTTAGTCAATTCAATCAATGTTAAACTTGTTCTGTTGTCTTCTTGTACTGTTTAAGGGTCCATTTAAGCGTTCTAATCTTGAGTATAGCCAAGGTTGAGGTTAGGAATGAGTCAGCAAGCCGTAGGGTGACAAAACCGGGCCATACACACCCTTAGGGGGAGTGTACGGCCGTACACATGGGTGTGCGGCCGCACACTCACCTCTTGGCCGCACACTCACTTCTAGGCAGCACACCCACCCCTATATAAAGGGTAGACCCCTTTCCTTTCATTCCTTTAACACCTTGGCAGCACACAACATCATTTCTCTCAAGCTTCTTCAACCACAAACTCTCCAAAGCTTCAAAAACATGAGTAATCCATCCCTTAGCTTGTTGTGCTTGAAGAACCACTTGATCTAAGCCTTGAATCATTGAGTCCCGTCATGTTCTTCATCTCTTTGAAGGAGTGCGGCCGCACACCCACATAAGGTGGCCTCACACTCCTAAAAGACCCTCCAAAGTGAGAGTTGGACTTCCATCTTCGAGTTAGACATGATCATAGCCTCGCTGCAACTTAGAATTGGCGTTTTGGACACAAACATGTAGGGTGTACGACCGCACACGCCTGTGTACGGCCGCACACACACCCTTGTGCGGCAGCACACTCCTTGTGTGCGGCAGCACACTCCCGTGTGCGACCACACACACACCCTAGGACCGCAAACCCATTTCTAAGACCCTTAACTTGTACTACAACTAAGTATGGACCTAGAACACTTCATGGATGCAAGTATGGACCTTGAGATCACCTCAAAGGCACCTTCCATCATGAGTGTACGGCTGCACACCCCTTGGGCCGCACACCCATGGCCGTACACACCTTTAAGGTGGCCATACACCTCCCTCATGCAATCCTTTAAGGTCCTAACACTTAGTGCAAGTAGTCCCAAGTTCTTAGAGTGGTTCTCCATCACATCTAGTGGTGAAATACCTTCATTTGACAATCCTTTATGTGTCATTACTTGTTAATTAGGATCAAATCGTGTTCAAGGCTTCGCTTGAACATCCGGCATTCCGTATCGATCCTTCCTTCAAACCACTTACCCGAGGTGAGTTCATACCCCTATGCTTTTTCCGAGTTTTTCATGTTTTCAGGGGGAATACAAGCAAAAGTACAAGGACACTTGTGCTCAAAGTATATTATTTTGTTTAAGTTAATTATATTTTCAGTATGCTTTTAACACGGAAAACAGTTTTTACCAAACGATTAAGAAATCAACTCGTAGAAACAGTTTTCAAAACTAGGGTAACGAACTTGTGAATCATGTATTAAAATGTATTACTTTATAAAGGATTCATGCAAATCATAAAAAGGATTTTCAGTATTATTACTTGTAAATTTGTTAGTCTAAGTTGGAGACACGTCCTTGGTAACACTCCCACAGAATCAGAGTGTAGGACTAGCACTTGTGATCAGAATCTCCTGTAGGGAGAGCGTGACTGTTGTGTATAGCTACATTCGGACCGGCATGTCTACGGGTGACAAAGTCATAAAGGATATCGGCCCCGTTACAGGCCATATCCAGTCAGTTATAGTCATGAAACTCACAATGTAGATAGCAGAGATTTAGTTTTGTAATAATGAATCAAGTGAACTAACCTCAAAGTAATAACCGATTTGATTACTGGAGGGTATTAATAGTTCCTTCAGGATTTAGTTCATCACGTTTTCTTTTATTAGTTTTATTTATGTAATAGGGCTAATATACCTCATTGGGAGTAACCAGGGTTTTTAAAAGAAACCTTCGTTTATCGATATAAGTATGGTAGATACTTGTACACCTCAGTTTAGAACGGATAACCAACCATCAACTTTTAGGGAAAATATAGGATTTTCCCGGGATAACTCGGCTTTTCATAAACGGATTGTTTAATAAGTAACTAACGGATATTCATATTCATTCCACGACACCTTAGATTGTACATATCTTGTATGAATCTGGAAGTCATGGAAGGAATGGGTTTTCAAACACGCTTTTCATAAGAAAATTTAGGATTTTCTTGAGGAACACTTTTCAAAAGGATCAAAGAACATTTTTCACCAAAACTAAATGCTTATGAACTCACCAGCTTTATGCTGATATTCTTTCAAAACTGCTTGTATTCTCAGGGAATTAGTAGATAGGTACTTCCAGGAGTTTGGAGAAGTCGGAGCGTTAGAGTCGCGTCCTTCTATTTTACTTTTGATATAAACAAAACTATGTATTAAGACAATGTAAACCTTTTTCATATATGTATTCAATGTTTGGTTGTGTTTACTATGCTTGCTATGATACAACTGTTGTGATACTACGCATGACGTCAACCCCCCCCCCCCGAACGTTTCCGCCGTTCCGGTTTGGGGGTGTGACAGATTGGTATCAGAGCCCTTGTTTATAGCGAACTAAGTATACCAAACCTTACATGGTATACAACTATAAATACTAAGGGGCCTAAGTGCTCTAAACTAAAAGTATACTTTCAAGAATATAAATATTTTTATAAAAAGTATACAAGTATACCTAGGTACCGGAATCAGTGTCATAAGTGGAACAAAACAAAAGTATTTGGATGTTGGACATCGCGGTTAAACCTGGGCAGTTATGTACTCGTGTCTAGGGTCAATATAGCCTGATCAACTATATTCATTCGAGACATGACCAACATGTGCTTGGGAGTGACTGTGGTGTTGCAGCAAGCCTAAAACTTACCTAGATACCAGAAGAGTTCTAGAACCAAACATAAGGGTTAAAATACTATTGGAGTATTTTAAGGTGCTATAACGACCGAACCGAAAACTTACCCAAAAATCCATTCTTCAAGAATCAATCATGTAACTATAATACATTGGAAGTATTATAGATTCGATGCCTATTAACTATCCCTTTACCATCACCTCGCGTAGATAGCATGGCTGGATTCCATCTTCCTGGCGACCCGTACTTTCCCAACCAAGGAGATGATGGATGGATCGAGCCAGAACCAGAAGGAAACCATGAAATTCCTTTGGACGATGGCTTTGCCGAACCATTTCCTGAAGAGACTGACTCGGAACCCGAAGTCGAAAACCTACCTCAAGTG